AGGGTGTGTCGAAGGGCGAGGGGGGCAACCTCGGCCGCTTCCGAGCGCAGACGTATACGGGCGGGGAGAGCAGTCACTTGGGCTTCTTTGACACGGCGGTGGACGCGGCGGTTGCCTACGCACGGTCGGTCGGCGCCAAGCGCCAGAAGTGCGTCCTCCCCGGGCGCGAGCAGCAGCTGCAGCAGCGCGACCCGCAGCAGCTGCAGGAGGGCGACCCGCCGCTGCTCGAGCGGGCGTCTCTCCAGGCGCGCCGCCCCAGCGCGACCTCTGCACACATTGCGGCAGCTCCGGCCACCCACCCGCACCCTCGGCGCGCGTGGCCGGCCACAGTTTAGCGGCATGGGGTGACTTACCGCCGGCGCTGCATGTAGGTTTACTCGGCTGCGCACCTGCGCGGCCCGCAGCCCGCAGGCCACCTCGGACAGCACGCGCAGCCAGGCAAACGGATCCGCTTTGCGAAGCGCCCTTTCGACTGCGAGGTCGAGGCGGCGGCTAGGATCGCTTCGCCGGGCAAGCTGCCGACCTCGCTTGGAGCGGCTGCACTGCTGCCGCGACGAGTGCCGCGCCGGCCACCGACCGCACGCGACCGCGATCCTCCCGGGGCGGAGGAGGCACCGGCGGCGGCGGCGCTCCCGAAGGCGATTGTCGGTGGCGAGGAGCCGCCGCCGCCGCTGCCGGGCCGGCGGATCCGCGTCTACTGGCCGGCGGAGGAGTGCTGGTTCCGCGGGCGCGTGATCAGCAGCAGCGCTGTGGTCGGGCAAACGATCCAGTACGACGATGGCGAGACTAAGCGCCACTTGCTGGATGTCGAGGGTTGGCAGTGGGAGTACATCACCGTTGGCCGACGGAAAGCGGCCAAGCCAGCAGCGCAGCCGGCGGCGGAGCCGGCGGCAGCAACAGCGGAGCCGGCGGCGGAGCCAGTAGAGGAGCCAGCGGCGGAGCGGGCGGCGGAGCCCGCGGCACAGGAGCCGCCGGAGGAGCTGCATTTGCACCTCTCCTGCAGCAACACCACCGGCTACAGGGGGGTCTTCAAGGACGCGCACGGCCGCTTCTACGCGCAGCACAAGATTGGCGTGAGGACGGTCAGCTCGGCCTCCTTCGACACGGCGGTCGAAGCGGCGGAGGCCTACGCGCGGTCAATGAAAGACCCCGCCTCTCTCGCGGCGGCCGGTGCGAGTTGCATCGCGCCGCGCGCCGTGCCTCCAGCCGCTCGAGCGCGAGCTTCGACGGTGGCAAAGGAGGCAAGCGCGAGTGCGAGCCGCCCGCAAGCGCGACCGCGAGCCGCACCTAGAAAAGGCGGAGCTCCCGTCGCCGGTAAGCACGACCTCGAGCCGCCCGCAGCAGAGGCGCTTGCGGAGGCGCCCGCGCCAGCTGCCGCTGCGGCAGCGGAGCCGCCTGCAGCTCTGGCGGCGGGGGAGTCGAGGAGCGCAGCTGCACCGCTCCCGCTGCTGCCACAGCGGCCATTCCGACCTCAGCCCTTTGGAGGCGGTCACGCGCCGCTGTCTCTGGAGGAACGGATGCGGCTGAGCGGGGCGCCGCCTCTCCCTCCGCTCCGCAAAGCGCAGGCGCCCGCACAGGCCACGGTCGCCACCGTCGTCGTCACTGCCAGCTTCTAGCTTTAGTGCATGCAGCATGTAACATATGAGAACTCGCGGTAGAAGAGCACGAGAGTCGATGTGTGCTCGCCTCGCCATGCTAAGCTCCACGGTGTATGGGGCGCAGCCGTACTAAAAGCCGGTCTCGAGCTACGGCTCTAGTGGGTCTAGAGGTGTAGAGCGTCTCGAGAGCTAGACGAGGTGTGTTTTGAAAGTGTGTCGTTTTGGTGTTTCATAACATATTTGCCCCTCGTGCTCGCGTGACGTCGGCTCCCGAGTCCCGCGCCTCCCGTGTGCTCCGGTACACAATGTATGCACAACCCCCCCCCCCCCCCCCCCCCGCCCCCCCTCTCTCTCCCAGAGAGAGCCGCGGACCGCGCTACACACGTCATACCTGGCCTCGCACGAGGCCGACCGCGGTGCCGGTGACGCTTGTGAGGGCTAGGTCCACCAGCTTCGCGCCGATGAAGGTGCAGCCGTCGACGTCGGCCAGCGAGAGGTCGCACGTGTGGAGCGATGCGCCGGTGAAGTTGGAGCGGGCGAGCTCGGCGGTTTGGAGGTCGACGGTACGCAGCTCCGCCCGGGAGAAGTCTGACTCCCACACCTTTGCGCCCGTGAACTTGGTGTCAACCAGCCTTGCGCCGACGAAGCTGGCGCGCGGGATCGTCGAGGAGGAGAAGTCCGCGCCCTCGATGACGGCGTAGTCGAAGCGCGCAGCCTCAAGGTTTACGCCGTCGAGGATGGCGCCGTGCATCTGCGCGCCGACAAACGACGCCGTCGTGATGGCGGACGAGTCGCTCAATGAGGCGCCCCGAAGGTTTGCGCCGTCCAGCACCGCGCCGCTCAAGTCGACCCCGCCAATCATTGCGTTCTCGAGGTTGGCGCAGCGCAGGTCGGCGTTGCGGAGGTCTGGGCACGTGTCAAAGATGGCGTTTGGCCCCGCCAGCGCCGCACACCCGCCCCGCGACTTGCCAGGCAGCGGGGGCAGACTGCCGCCACAGGGGCTCGGCGGCGGCGGGAGCGTCGCAGGGGCAGCGAGCGGACTCGGCGGCGGCGTCGCTGTGCTGAACAGCCACCAGGCGAGCCTCCCCGGCAGCGTCGTAGAGGCAGCGAGCGGACTTGGCGGCGGCGGCAGCATCGCAGGGGCAGCGAGAGGGCTCGGCGGCGGCGGTGGCGAGAGAGGGCTAGGCGGCGGCGAGAGCGGGCCCAGCGGCGGCGGGAATGGGCTCGGCAATGGTCGTCCTGCTGGCGGCGGGAAGGTCGCACCAGGGGCCGGCACGCTCGCGAGAGGCGAAGCAAACGCTGATGTGGTGCGTTTGACCATGCACACGAAGCCATGCGCTGGAAGGATCCCGTCCACTTGCGCGGTCTGAAGCTCGCACCTCCGATACCCGCCGGCGGTACCGAATTGAAGCCACTCGTAGGCCGTGCATTCAGTCATGCCGGAGCATTTGGACTCGCAATCCGCCATCGTCTTGAGCCAGACCTCATAGTGCGCTGACGCGGGGCTGCCCAAACTGGTGCACACGCCGGCGCGGCCGCCGGGTGCTGGCTCGAATGCCTGTGCGAGCGAGAGGAGAAACGCCGTCTGTGGCATGGAGGCGATTCCAGTCGAATGGACCGATCCGGCCACAGCCACAGCCACACGCGGGGTTTCAGATTTTTGCCGGTACGGGACCCCCGAGTCCGAACCATTCCCTCCTCCACACTCTCCCAGTCCTTTTCTCGCGAGCCACAATGACCCCAGTTGGGCAACGGTGATGCAATGGCTATTATCTATTATTCAAAAGCTGAGTAAAGACGGGGAGGCACGTAGTGACGCAGGGGAGTCTAGGCGGCGGCGGCGTCCTCCACAGGCAGGGTTTCAGACGTTTGCAGGGACGGGATGGGTGATGTGTGTCTTGTAAGCTGTTTGTGTCTGTGTGTCGCTCATGCGTGTCGTCATCGTCTGTCTAGCGGGCGGGGTATCAGATTTTTGCCGGTAGGGGTGTACGCAGCGCTCAGACTGACTGTTCTTCACCTCGCTCGTCCGAACCATTCGTCCTTCCCTCCTTCACACTCTCCCAGCCAGTCCTGGTCTCGCGAGCCATGATCCCAGTTGGGCAACGGTGATACAACGGCTATTATCTACTATTCAAAAGCTGAGGAGACCCGTGTTTACTTTATGGCCCTTTCCCTGCGAACGCGCACCCCCCAGGGCTAGGGCTCTCTAGCCCGTAACCCGATGCCAAGAGGTCCTCCAACAGAGGTCCTCACGCCAAGAGGTCCTCAGACACGGCGCAGACCAGTGGACCAGTGCGGCAGTGGATTGTCCGTTGCGCGCCCCTACGCCGGCACGCCCTTTTCCCGTCGACCCCCCCCCCCCCCCCCTTTCCCCCCAAAATTCCGGGGGCAGTTCGGATTTCCATTTCCCGGTATTGGTTTTTTTTCCGCGGGGGTTCGGCCAGAGGCAGCCCAGGACAACCCCCCAGGGGGCTGCTCCCTGAATTTCGGGAAACTCCCCCCCGCCAAGGGGTCCTCCCGGGGAGAAGGTCCCCCCCCCAAGAGATTCTCCCCGGGGAGAAGGTCCTCCCCCCAAGAGGTCCTCCAACAGATGTCCCCCCCCCAAGGGGTCCTCAGACCCGGGGCAGAGGATTTTTCATTGGGGGCCCCTAAGGGGGGACGCCCTTTCGGTTGGCCCCCCCCCCCCCCCCCCCTGTCCCTCGCGCAGAGGCAGCGCTTCGTTCGCATTAGCCGTAGCCCAGTTCAAGCACAACGCCTGCAAGAGAGGTCCTCACGCCTGCGTGGCGAAGAGGTCCTCATTCATGGATGGCCCTCGTGGTTGCTCGTTGCGCGCCCCTACGCCGGCCCGCCCCGCGTCGCGACGGGGCCGGCACGCATGCCCTTCCCGGCAAGACATCACTCCGTCCCGCCGGCAGATCGAGCGGCAGTGAATATACATGCACAAGCCTCCACAAATGATATGTGTGTACCGAGTAGAAGTATTAAGCAAGTAATATTATATCGCGTCGTATTTTGTGGTGCACTTCGATACGGTGCTGGTGCTCCAAACACGTGTTGAGTGTGTGTGTGTCGACTCACACTCACTCACTCACTCACTCTCACTCACACGCAGCTCGCTGAAGTAATAAACTAGGCGCAAGGCAGCCGCGCTGTGTGGGCGCTTTCTCGGTAGTTTGGAGTCACTGAGCTCCGCCCGATGGACGAAACTTAGGGAGAAGAAAAACGTGCCTCGCCCCTGTTCACAGCGCGCACTTTCATAATAATAAATCATCCCTGTCGGCTCCAGGTCGCAGCTGAGGCGAGCTCCGACTGCAGCTACGTGGTCTGGCGTGAGCTGCGCCGTTGCCGGCAACCCTTCCGCAACCGCCCCAACCCGGCCGCGCCTCCGCCTAGGCGAGCAGTATGTCCCGCCTCAACTACTTCAACACGCTCACCCAGGCGCAGAAGCTCAACCAGCTGGCGAGGCGCCGCTGCCCTCGCCACACTCCGCCCTGCTCGCAGCCCTGCTCGCCAGCCGGCCCGCAACCGCCGACGCCACGGCCGCGGCTCGTGGCCTCGCCGCCGCCGCCGCCGCTCTCGGCTCCTCCTTCCGGCCCACTGCCGCCGCCGACCTCGCCACGCCTCGCCGCTGACCGCTGCAGGTGCCGCTTCATGCAGCGGTCCGAGTTTGCGAACGGGGTGGCGGCGATCGCGGGGAAGAAGATCGTCATCGTCGGCTGCGGCGCGCAGGGCCTCAACCAGGGCCTCAACATGCGCGATTCGGGCTGCGACATCTCGTACACGCTGCGGCAGTCGGCGATCGACTCAAAGGCGCTGCCTCCCTCCTGGCCCTCGCCCCGCCGCCCGCGTGCAGCCGCCGCCCCTCGCCCGCCGCGCCGCCGTCCACGGCCGCCGCCCCGCTGCCCAGCGCCTCTCTGGGCCCGCCCCACCGGCCCTCGCCCTCACCCTTCGACCTTTTAAGCGCCATCCTCAGCCCGCTTCACCCCCGCACCGCCACGACACGACTCCTCAGCCTCCTCCACACCCCCCCGCGGCCCGCAGCGCTACTCCCCAGCGTCCTCCACCCCTCCCCACGCAGCGCGCCTCTTACGTCAACGCCACCTCCAACGGCTTCGCCGTCGGTACGTACGAGGAGCTCATCCCGCAGGCCGACTGATATTATTAATTAATTATAGCATTATTAATTAATTAATTGATTCGGGACGTACGAGGAGCTCATCCCGCAGGCCGACTACTATTATTAATGCATTATAAATATTTTTTATTGGGGACGTACGAGGAGCTCATCCCGCAGGCCGACATGTCTTTGTCTCTGTCTCTGTCTCTCTCTCTCTCTCCCTCTCTCTCTCACTCACTCACTCTCTCTCTCTCTCTCTCTCTCTCCCTCTCCCTCTCTCTCTCCCTCTCTCTCTCCCTCTCTCTCTCTCTCTCTCTCTCTCTCTCTCCCTCCCTCTCTCCCTCTCTCTCTCTGACCCCGCAGGCGGACATGGTGCTCAACCTGACTAATATCATTAATTAACTATTAATTAATTATTAGTCAATTCTATCCCGCAGGCGGACATGGTGCTCAACCTGACGCCCGACAAGCAGCACACGTCCGTCGTCAACGCGGTGATGCCGCTGATGAAGGAGGGGGCGACTAAGATAGTAATTAATATTATATTAATTAATGTTAATTAATAGGTGATGCCGCTGATGAAGGAGGGGGCGACGCTCGCGTACTCGCACGGCTTCAACATCGTCGAGGAGGCACGAGATACGGGGAGATATGGGGAGATACGGCGAGATGTTTCGCTTCTAGGGCACGAGATACGGGGAGATACGGGGAGATACGGGGAGATGTTCCGCTTCTTAGGGGATGCGAGTCCGGCCCGACCTCACCGTCATCATGGTTGCGCCAAAGTGCCCCGGCACGGAGGTGCGCGAAGAGTACAAGCGCGGGTTCGGCGCGCCGGCCCGCTCGTCGGCGGTGTACGCCCGCCGTGTGGACGGCGTCTCTTCACGGCCCTCCGGCTGTGAACAGGCGTGCCGACGCTCATCGCGGTGCACCCGGAGAATGATCCGCGAGGCGAAGGGCTCGAACTCGCCAAGGCGAACGGAGCATCTCGGCTGCGCCTCGGCTGTACCTCGGCTTTATTTCGGCTTTTTTTCGGCTATCCTTACACCTCGGCCGTACCTCGGCTGTACCTCGGCTGCACCTCGGCTGCACCTCGGCTGTACCTCGGCTGTACCTCGGCCGTACCTCCGCCAGGCGTACGCAGCGGCGACGGGCGGAGACCGCGCCGGCGTGCTGGAGTCGTCTTTCGTCGCGGAGGTCAAGTCGGACGTGACGGGCGAGAAGAAGGGCCTAGCCGGGTTAATTAACGACGGGCGGCGTGATCGATTAGGTCAAGTCGGATCTGATGGGCGAGAAGAAGGGCCTAGCCTAGTTCATTAACGACGGGCCACGTGATCAATTAGGTCAAGTCGGATCTGATGGGCGAGCAGACAATCCTGTGTGGTATGCTGCAGACGGGCGCGGTTCCTCTCCGTCGACAAGATGGTGGATGGGTGGAGGGATCAACAGTTCAGTAAGTCATCAATTAGGCGCGGTGCTCTCGTTCGACAAGATGGTGGAGAACGGCATCGACCCGTCTCACGCCTACGCTGATTAATTAATTGATCATCCATCTCATTGATAATTAATTAGTTAATTAGGCATCGACCCGTCGTACGCCTCGAAGCTGATCCAGTACGGGTGGGAGACGATCACAGAGGCAGCGAGATATGGGGAGATGTGGGGAGGTGTGGGGAGGTCCAGTACGGGTGGGAGACGATCACAGAGGCAGCGAGATATGGGGAGATGTGGGGAGGTGTGGGGAGATCCCAGTACGGGTGGGAGACGATCACAGAGGCAGCGAGATATGGGGAGATGTGGGGAGGTGTGGGGAGGTCCAGTACGGGTGGGAGACGATCACAGAGGCAGCGAGATATGGGGAGATGTGGGGAGGTGTGGGGAGGTCCAGTACGGGTGGGAGACGATCACAGAGGCAGCGAGATATGGGGAGATGTGGGGAGGTGTGGGGAGGTCCAGTACGGGTGGGAGACGATCACAGAGGCAGCGAGATGTGGGGAGATGTGGGGAGGTGTGGGGAGGTCCAGTACGGGTGGGAGACGATCACAGAGGCAGCGAGATGTGGGGAGATGTGGGGAGGTGTGGGGAGGTCCAGTACGGGTGGGAGACGATCACAGAGGCAGCGAGATATGGGGAGATGTGGGGAGGTGTGGGGAGATCCAGTACGGGTGGGAGACGATCACAGAGGCAGCGAGATGTGGGGAGATGTGGGGAGGTGTGGGGAGATCCCAGTACGGGTGGGAGACGATCACAGAGGCAGCGAGATATGGGGAGATGTGGGGAGGTGTGGGGAGGTCCAGTACGGGTGGGAGACGATCACAGAGGCAGCGAGATATGGGGAGATGTGGGGAGGTGTGGGGAGATCCAGTACGGGTGGGAGACGATCACAGAGGCAGCGAGGATCACACCGGTATCTGGGGAGCGCGGCATCGCGACGCAGCAGGACCGCCAACGACTCCCGCGATGTGTCTGCCTCCTCAGGCGCTCAAGCATGGAGGCATCGCCGGCATGATTAATGAGTTAGCTCATTGAGACTGAATGAATTACTCAGGCGCTCAAGCATGGAGGCATCACCGGCATGATGGACCGCCTCGACAACCCGAGCAAGATCAAGGCGGCGGAGCCTGCGAGCGAGCTCAAGCAGGCCAACCAGTTCGTTGATTGGTTCCTTGGCTCGTGGCTAGGCGGCGGAGCTTGCGAGCGAGCTCAAGGCGATCATGAAGCCGCTCTACGAGAAGCACCAGGTGCCCCCGCCTTCTCCACCCCCGTCACCTCCCCCTTCCCCCCCTCCCCCCTCCCCTCCACCTTCGCCTCCCCCATCACCACCACCTCCCTCTCCTCCACCGTCTCCGCCTCCATCCCCCCCACCTTCCTATCAGCAAATCTAATAAGGCTTTGGCACAAACATTCA